CAATGATTAAATCGTCGCCACTTAACTTGGGCTAGTCAATTTTTGAGTTATTAGTGTCCACAATTAATGATCAAATCGTCACCACTTAACTCGGGCTAGTTAATTTTTGAGTTATTAGTGTCCACAATGATTAAATCGTCATCACTTAACTCGGGCTAGTCAATTTTTGAGTTTGATTGAATCGTCACCATTTAATCGCCCCAGTCAATCGAACAACTGCAAATGTTAAGTGACCAGAATGATTGAATCGTCACCATTCAATGCGGTCCAGTCAATCCAACAGTTGCAAATGTCCAGGACGATTGAAACATCACCAAACAACTCGGTCCAGTCAAGCCATGAGTCGAGATGTGCGTTATCGAACCGTTCGTGTGTCGAGAAAAAAATCACCTAAAGTTGTTTCAGATTTTGCAGGAGCCAAAAAAGCTCTTCGGTCCGCACGTGGTCGTACCAAACATTAGAGTGTGGGTTAATTTAACGCATATACTCGTATATTGATGAACAATACATGGGATTCAAATTATTGATACACATTGACCTTGAATAAGTTAAAAGAATTAGCAAACATACTCACATATTTTAAAAATTGTTTATTGAGTTTTCTAATTAATTTTAGATAAGTTGATAATTTTTAAGAATGTTGAATTTCTGACCGGAATTAAAACTTTTTATTCACTATTTCTGAGAGTTGGAAAAATGCATGATAAATGAAATTTAATCTCGTTTGCAAAAATTGTACGCTGTTTCCTTACGGCTATAATATGTATTTTGTTTTCGAAATGACCACAGTTAGAATAAGAATATGAAATGAAATGAAGCCTAATGTAAATTTTTCATCAAATCATGTACCACTACAACGCAACATACGCTAGAATAAACAAATATAGCCTCGTTTCACCATTCCTCAAATTAATGGCAAAATCAGCTCGTATTTTCAATATAAAAAGAAAATTCAGTAGCGACTGTGTTTTTCTAGTGCATGGGAAGAGCGTTTTGCGGAGGGTTGTCTCGACAGTGCCCCGCTCCGCTGTAATGGTGCAGAATGACGCTGCACTTTGCACCCTTTCTCTCCGGCCGTTCACCAACCCTCCGTTGGGCCCGACTCTTGCACCAGAACGCGGCGTTCAGTTCCGTAAACGCAGCTGTCAATCACTGACTCGTCCTTCCCTAGAAAATAAAAAAATGTCCCTCGAAAATTGCAGATTAACGACAAACGATTAGGGAAAAATTGGTCGTTTTGCTTGGCCCTTGAGAAATGTTGAAATTGTCCAATCAAAAGATAATTTACCGTCTGCCATGCACTATGTAAAAGTCTCGATGTTCGAAATCCTTTTGAGTTGCATGGACAATAAAAATAGGCCAAATTGCCATATCATAAGAAAAATTTGTTGTCTCCATGCACCAATAAAATACTTGTGAGATGCAATAATTAAAAATGAAGAAAATCTGAATGATCAATGTAATTTGAAGAAAATTGCAAAATGGAACTGGAGATTGTAGAAAAATTAAAGATTTTGTTTTCCTTTCTGATGAAAATAACGAAATTGTCTACTCAGCTCAAAAAATTTCATCGTCATAATGATACGATACTCATTTCAATTAGCTAAGTAATGAGATTCCTTTCTAAGGAGTCTCATTTCATAGATTAGGCTATATAATTCATTGATAATTTAATTTAGAATTCATTTCATTGCAATTTAACTAATAAATCCTTAATCATAAACTTGAATCAAGTTTCCTTCTATTTTCATTTTATTATTTATTTTTTTATTTATATTTTATTTATTAATTATTCAGACAACCTGTTGGAAGGGTCCAGTTGAATCTCGCTGCAATTGTGCTAGAGTCTGAGAGCCCAGCTGCACTGCCCAGAGCCCAGCTGCACTGCCCAGAGCCCAGCTGCACTGCCCAGAGCCCAGCTGCACTGCCCAGAGCCCAGCTGCACTGCCCAGAGCCCAGCTGCATTGCCCAGAGCCCAGCTGCACTGTCCCAGAGCCCAGCTGTACTGCCCCAGAGCTCAGCTGCTCTGTCCAGAGCTCAGCTGCACTGCCCAAAGCCCAGCTGCACTGCCCAGAGCCCAGTTGCTCTGCCCTAGAGCTCAGCTGCACTGTCCCAGAGCTCAGCTGCTCTGCCCAGAGCCCAGCTGCACGGCCCAAGAGCCCAGCTGCACTGCCCAGAGCCCAGCTGCACTGCCTCAGAGCCCAGCTGCACTGCCCCAGAGCCCATCTGCACTGCCCCAGAGCCCATCTGCACTGCCCCAGAGCCCAGCTGCACTGCCCCAGAGCACAGCTGCACTGCCCCAGAGCCCAGCTGCACTGCCCCAGAACCCAGCTGCACTGCCCCAGAGCCCATCTACACTGCCCAGAGCCCTGCTGCACTGCCCCAGAGCCCAGCTGACAGTGCCACAGAGACCAGTTTGGTCCAGCATGGTCCAGCCCCAGCACCACACCCGTTGTAGTTTCCATGACTGGCAGCAATCATATTAGAGCCCTCCATACGAGTGCTCTTTAATCAGTATTATGAACGCCTGACATCTGATAAATGATCTCTCAGAGACAACTCCGCGCTAACTGCTACTGCACATGAGCTCGTACAATGTACATATCCTTACCATCACAGCTCAGAATAGTACATGATTTACACTGTATGTGCTTGTTTTGAGGGGGAATATTTAGCTTGTACAATGTACATATCCTTACCATTACAACTCAGAATAGTACATGATATACACTGTATGTGCTTGTATTGAGGGGGAACATTTAGCTTGTATAATGTACATATCCTTACCATTACAGCTCAGTATAGTACATGATTTACACTGTATGTGCTTGTTTTGAGGGGGAACATTTAGTTCGTACAATGTACATATCCTTACCATTACAGCTCAGTCTCTTACATGATTTACACTTTATGTGCTTGTTTTGAAGGAGAACATTTAGCTTGTACAATGTACATATCCTTACCATTACAGCTCAGTATCTTACATGATTTACACTGTATGTGCTTGTACTGAAGGGGAACATTTAACTTGTACAATGTACATATCCTTACCATTAGAGCTCAGTCTCTTACATGATTTTCACTGTATGTGCTTGTTTTGAGGGTGAATATTTAGCTCGTACAATGTACATATCCTTATCATTAGAGCTCAGTATAGTACATGATTTACACTGTATGTGCTTGTATTGAGGGGGAACATTTACCTTGTACAATGTACATATCCTTACCATTACAGCTCAGTCTCTTACATGATTTACACTGTATGTGCTTGTATGGAAGGGGAACATTTAGCTCGTACAATGTACATACAGTATTCTTACCATTACAGCTCAGTATATATAGTACATGATTTACACTGTATGTGCTTGTTTCGGAGTGATGTTTTAGCTTGTGCATTGAACATTGTCATTTGTCCGTCTATAATTTTAATTAATTGTCATGGCATTCGTTGTGAACGATTTTTCATTTATTTATTAAAAGAGTAACATGCATGATTATCAGGATAAGCCTTATCGAACTGTTCATTAATGAGAGTCCCATTATGACAATAAAAGAGATGTAGTCCCATTATTACAATAAAATGTTTACAAAATGATCGTGATCAATCTATTCTAGTTTTTTCGAATGATTTATCAGGCTAAGACTATGCTATTTTACTGCGGATGTTTTGTTTTAATAAATTTCTAGCGTAAGCCTCATAAAAAACAAATATATTACCAAACAGCACGCATAATATAAACATTAATCTATGGTTGGCTTGGAGTTTGTCTGTAAAAATTGCATTGCGATGATACTAAAATAATAATCCTAATGATAAAAATGACCTCGTGAGATACATCGATCAATAAAATTGAATCTTGAGTTATGGTAAGACTGTTCAATATAATGAATGACTTTTTACTGTAATTTCCTATTTTTTTCGATACATTTTCCCCAGACGTTTCAATTTTTCCCCCAAGTGGCGAGACGTTCCCTGTCGTTGCGAGTTCATTTCGGTTTCTGGTTTAGAAGAAGTTTCATTGGTCGTATTTTTGTGCTGCGTCATCTCCATCGTTTATTATTTTCTTCACAATAAATTTCTGAGAACGTCTCGACGTCTAATAAAATCCTGAATTTTATAAATGGAGGCAGCAGAAAAAATAATTCTGGGTCTTCGACACTCAACGAGACTATTTTTTTCAGTAAATTGAAAGAATGTTTATTTATATTTCTCTGTTTTCCAATGAGAAATTCTGAACTTATCCCCAAATTGTTTCCATATTCGAAATTGTAAAATTGCTTCCTATAAGAAAGGCGAACGAAAATGTGAATATTCGTGAAAAAACGAGCAAGGGATGTAAGGTAAGAAAATCAGTGTATTGTTCAAATTACTCATTGTGTTAATGATGATCAATCCATGGAAAAAAATTATCAGTCTGGGCGGACTTTTTGCGACCCGTCTGCGACTTCTATTAATCTTAAGTCTTTTATCGCAATGCTCATAAAGGAAATGTTATCTGGTGAGGACAGAGAGGCCGTGATTTATGGCAAGGTCTCTTAGCTAATTATCGATCGAACTACATGGACCTATCGTGTAGTTATCGTAGGTTTGCTACAACAATCTCTGATCGTAGTTTTTCCTCTTAATTATTTTTGAATTGAAAGTTGGCATTTCCTTTTCAAGCTTTCAGATAATTCCATGTATTTGATGAATAAGCAAACTTTCTAGTGCCTACAATATCAATAAATCATGACATCTAAATAAATATTTTTTAAAATTTTTAGCATTCGTTTAATAAAAGGCAACAGGATATGAAATACGAGCAAGTAATGCGATTCAAATACGGGATCTCTGGCGAACACTGTAGGTATTGCCCAATTATTGTTCGATCTCTGCGGCACTGAGATGAAAGGAAGCGAAATCAAACTCCAAATTGGATCAAAAATCCCCAATAAATGACAGCGCGGCAGGAAAAAGTGGAAGGCAGAATTCTGCAAATGAGCAGAGACTCGATGAAGGGTTAGCTTTTCCTAAGAGTTCCGTGGGAGAAGATCAAAGCTGGGGACGCAAAAGTTGGAGGTCGGCGATGGGGGAGGAGTGGGATGTGGGGGATGAGGCATGGGATGTATAGACTGTGGGAGTTGATGAGTGGGATGTGAGGGGATGAGGCATGGGATACTGGAGGGGATGAGGCATGGACTGTAGGAGTTGAGTAGTGGGATGTGCTGGGATCAGGAATTGGGACGGATGGGTTGCAGGCTGGGATGTGGGGAGACTGTATATATAGACTGTAGTATAGACTGTATGTATAGACTGTATAGACATGGGATGTATAGACTGTAGGAGTTGATGAGTGGGATGTACTGGGATCAGGAATTGGGAAGTGGCGGGATGAGGCATGTGAGGCATGGGATATATAGACTGTAGGAGTTGATGAGAGGGATGTGCTGGGATCAGGAATTGGGATGGATGGGTTGCAGACTGGGATGTGGGAGGTCGGGGATAGGGAAGTACCAAGGTCAGAGACTGTGATGTGGGGGGAGTCTGAAACTGTTTGTGACGTGCGTGGATCAGAGACTGTGATGTGTTGGTCAGAGACTGCTATGCATGAGTCAGAGATTGCAATGTAGCCTTGTACAGCCTCCATTCATAATAAAAGACAAAACTTAATTTTTTGTAGAAAGAAAATATTATTCATAGACCATATACAAGTTTCAAGTTTGAAATCGTGAATGCAAACTTTATTTTGCGGATTTTTAATCCCAGCTTATGATCCGTAAGTACATTTCTTGAAGTCATAAACTAGAAATGAATTGGTCACCTTTTAATATTTTTTAATTATTTACTGTATGAGAATAAAGCACTTGATGCAAGATGTCCTAAAATATTTCTGCGTTAAAAAATTTCAAATTCCGCCTACAACCGACAGGCGGTAAAATATTGAGAAATAATAATAACAAAATATTCAGTACAAATAAACTTATAAGCAATGCTCTGATAATTCTTTATCACAGTGGATTTCGTTGGGTAAATTTACGACTAAGAACGATAATTGAATTCGCCCTTCCTTGAAGTTTCCACTTCCGAATGGCTACGAACTTCAAAAATGGCATCCAGGAGAAAGTTGGGGTAAAAATGGCTCCTAATCTACGGCAAAGTTACCCCAGAACAATAATTTTGCTCATATTCCTGTAATTATAGATCGTAAAGCAGGCATGGAAGGAGTGTTGGAAGCGCAGGTGCTATCGTAACTCATGGCAGCAAAATGTGTGCGATTTTCAGAGCGAAAATCAAATGTCAAATTTGGCAGAAATTTTTGCTAGAATTCAAATCGAATGATTTGGAAAATTTCGTGAGCAAAATTTAGACGCAAACCTCAACAAAACCATATAATGCATTCGTCGATACTTCAGTTAGAGCTTAATTAAAAAGGTGACAAATAAACAAACTGGACGCCCTATATTGGTCAACAGGTTTTCGGACCTGAAATCTTGCAATTAACAGCAAGAAGAGTTGAAAAATTGCTTAAAAACTATTCTAGTAAGAATTATTTATAAAAATGCCTAGTTACTATTCTGGCAAGGGCAGTCGAAAAAAATATCATGCTGCTATTTTAAAATAATGTTTTAAAAATTACCAAGCGATTATTCTAGCATGAATTGTTTGAAAATTGTCTAGCAACAATTCAAGCTAGGATAGTTAAAAAATTCACGATCAAAACTTCTAGCAAGAATAGTTGGTGAAACAATTTTAACAATCAACACTGTTAATTGCAATCCTAGTGGCAGATAATAAAATTTATTAGCTGAAAATTGATCATTTTCTTCCGTGATCGGAATAAATTAAATTCACAACCTTTTTTTTAAAATTGTTTTAGCGACCTGAAAGTTAAATAACGGAGTCGAATCTGATATCTTTCATGTTGACAGAAATTAATTATATTATTGGTGAATAATTTAACTCAATATGGCACAGAGCTTCATATAACTCGCATGAGTAAGGCATGCATATGGTTTCTTCACCAAATAAAATGACATTGATAAGTACACTAGAATTCTCGGCCGTCTTTAGGCTGACATTAACAGGCGGATAATTAAAAAATAATAGTTGCACTATTGAAACTGTTGTACGAAAAGGTACAGAAGTGCATTCTCTGTTAATTTTAGTCAGTCCTATAAATTAATTTAAAAATCCCAGTAACCATGAAATAAAAACATTTTTTTGTTCATTAAAGTTAGGTACCAAGTATTAATTACACTGACTGGGCAATTTCAATGGCATATCGAGTCCTCATTTGAGGGGGTTTGATATTTATTGCCGCTAGGTTTGTACAATTTTTCCAGTTCGTATTTCTTGCAGTGTTTGGTTGGAAGATCAAAGCGCTGATGTTGAAGGAATCCGACAGCCCTCTTGCATATTTATGTGCTTTAATTGAAGCAACTTGCGAGAACACTAGAGTTATTTCGCCCAAATAAACAACTCTCTGCAAGACTGCTTGATCTCTGTACGTTTCATTAGTAACGTATTATGATTAAACTTTCCTTAGTTAAAAGAAAGAAAGATCAAATTTTGAATAATTTATTTAATTTACTACATATCGAATCACAGGCATAGAGATGATTTTATTTAATTTGGATCTTTATTACATATTGAAGGGATATGAATCGCACTTCTGTTTCAGTCTACCAATTTGGCATATGTTCTTCGAAGCGAGAAAGAAAAATCTACTCCGTTTTCCCATAATGACATGCATCCTACAGATATTATCGAGAAATTTATTTAAATGTTAATTTTATTTCCTAAAAATTTCATACTTTGTATTTATGCCGAAAAACCGGTAAATATTTTAGGCGTTTTTATTGCATTAAATTCTTCTCTAATCTGTACTTTAAAAAATCAAATTACATATATTCTCTTAGCTATCAAGCACATCGCATTGTATAACTTTATTCCTCTAAAATTCACTTTCTAAGGTTTAGTCCTCTAAAAATTCACCTTCTAAGGTTTAGTTCTCTAAAAATTCACCTTCTAAGGTTTAGTCCTCTAAAAATTCAGCTTCTAAGGTTTAGTCCTCTAAAAATGTACCTTCTAAGGTTTAGTCCTCTAAAAATGTACCTTCTAAGGTTTAGTCCCCTAAAAATGTACCTTCTAAGGTTTAGTCCTCTAAAAATTCACCTTCAAAGGTTTAGTGATCTAAAAATTCACCTTCCAAGGTTTAGTCCTCTAAAAATTCACCTTCTGAGGTTTAGTCCTCTAAAAATTCACCTTCTAAGGTTTAGTCCTCTAAAAATGTACCTTCTAAGGTTTAGTCCTCTAAAAATGTACCTTCTAAGGTTTAGTCCCCTAAAAATGTACCTTCCATGGTTTAGTTCTCTAAAATTCACCTTCTAAGGTTTAGTCCTCTAAAATTCACCTTCTAAGGTTTAGTCCTCTAAAAATGTACCTTCTAAGGTTTAGTCCTCTAAAAATGTACATTCTAAGGTTTAGTCCTCTAAAAATTCACCTTCTAAGGTTTCATACGAATCATTGCAAGAAAAGGTGGAAAAATATTAGCCAAGCCTCTGACGTCATGCGGCTTGGCTGTCTCATCATACGAATCATTGCAAGAAAGAGTGGCAAAAAAATTATAGAATGATTTTTGGCGGCCAAACTTAAGACTTCGAAGAGATCTGATTCTCGCAGTCAGACAAGTTTTACAATAAAATTACGCAGATTTTTATGATTTAGTTCATTCAGTGAAGACATCTTGAAAATCCAAACGAATTTATCATTCTATTTTTTAACTACTTCTATTACAAAAAACATGTCTGAAAATCGACCAAACAAGTATTAACAATGACAAGAAAGATGAGACTTTGTAATGCGTAATTAATTGTTTTCAAACGCAAATTTGCAAGGTTGGTGGATGGATTTCGTATCGTATCTGTTGCAGGTCCAGCTTTCGAAGAAATTTCGATAAGTTGGACTCAACTTAAATGTGACACAACTCCACGGACCTAAATCCCACGTTTCATTTACTCATGGCCCATAGAACGGGCCAACTTTTGGCGACTTATTTTTTCCGAAACCAAATTGTATTCAGTTGAATATAAAAAGTTCACATAGCCATATAAATTTCTTCTGCGTATGGTATTTAATTAGACCAAGCCAATAAATCGTTGATAGTACAATTTCAGGGAGCCAATTTGTCGATTCATCAATGAAATTGACATAAAATGGAAATAAAAAAACACAGGCAAATGAAATTTTTTACCTCAAATCTTTTATATTCCCGGAACGAAAACCCAGTAACTCGTAACTAAGTAATTTACAACGACAAACCAGGGGCACAAAAATGTAAAAAATTGCAAAAGAAAAGTAAGAATTTGAAAGGTTATGTGGTTTTCACGGGGTGGGCCTATAAAAATACGCTCATTCATCATTGCTCTCCAATTTGTCTGTCTCAAACCGCCTTGCTGGGGCTTTTCTCTGCCGGGAAATATCGCCATGTTATAGGAGGCCATATTTCGGCCACCTATATATGGCCCCACCGCCTCGCTGGGGCTTTTTTCTGCCAGAAAATATCGCCATGTTATAGGAGGCCATCCTGCGACCACCTATATATGGCCCTACCGCCTTACTGGGGCTTTTCTCTGCCAGAAAATATCGCCGTGTTATAGGAGGCCATCTTTCGGCCACCTATATATGGCCCCACCGCCTCGCTGGGGCTTTTCTCCGCCGGAAAATATCGTCAGGTTATAGGAGGCCATTCTGCGGCCACCTATACTGTATATGGCACCACCGCCTTGCTAGTTTTTTTTTCTGCCAGAAAATATCGCCGTGTTATAGGAGGCCATCCTTCTGCCACCTATGGCCCCCACTTTATTAACTGAATCAAGTATAAATAACAGCTAAATACATATGGTGGACTAAGTACATGAAGTGGTCGACATCTCGTCTATGAATGGGTGGTTTAGCTTGAAAAGCAGTCATTGAATGGCTGAAAGAGTTTTAACATACGACCCTTATGCTATCTGTAAATTGGTACTTTACTAAAGATAAATCAAGGGTGCCTGGCCGTCGGCCGGTCTAAGACCTCCGAACTGAAGCCTAAATTCTTTCCAGGCTCATAGGCTGGAAATGCAAATCATTATTCGTAACTATTTACCAGGAGTTTTATTCTGAAAAATTATGACCGAATTATCGACGGAAAAACCTTAGCCCGAGCATTCCGTGGCGTTGGGTTGACTGCTTATCATCGTCAGCTCTTATTGCTGTATATTTCCCCATAACAAAATTTTCAATCAGAACCATTCTGGGCCAGCCACCGACTATAGAGAAGTAAAATAAATCAAGTAAAAATTTATAAGTAGATTAGATCAATTTTCTCCCACTATTTCACAACTGAGATCTCACTACACTAAAAACTCATTAAAGCTTTTTTTTTATTATCTGTCAGCTGATTACACTTGTTTTTAGCGCATTTTCTCATTTATGGAAAAATGCACTATTGTGCTCGCCATGTTCGTCTGTCAGTCTGTCCGTCCGTCCGTGACCTCAAGTTTTCTTTGACGAGAAAATGCGCTCTCTGTCACTCACTGCAGTGAGTACCGAGTTATATTTTTTTCTTTTTGTTAGCAATGTCAATCCTTGACTACCGACGGTAAC